AGATAGGGACGAGAGGTAAAGGGAGGAGGTGGAGGAAGAGGAAGAAGTAGGAGAGAAGGAGAAGTAGAGGGAGGAGGAGGAAGAAGTGTAGAGGGAGGAGGAGGAGGAGGAGGAGAAGGGGGGATAGAACTGGGAGTTCAAGGGGTTGTAACGCTCCATCCCGCACTTCAGAAACAACAGCATCACTTAAGGTCCAGCTCACCCACATACTTCAAGGACAGTATTGCGTCATACTTATAAACCTGCCTACATGCCTGCACGCCTGCCTGTACTTGCACGTGTCCTCTGAGATGCCATATTATCAATTGTGTGATAATGGACGCGTTGACGGTCCTGGATAAACACAAGAAATACACTTCACCACGTTCGTAGAGTGATACGGTATATAAAATTTGTAATAAAATTTTAAAGTCCTGCTTATAATAGTCGAGATAAGTTTATTTATCTAGAAAAATGGCCGCCATTTGCAATGACGTCACCACCTACCCTGCAGACGACGCTCTCTATCAAACTCACAGCTGAAGTCAGAGGTAGTACAAAGGTGGCCCCTTTAGACTCCAAATGCCACGTTTAGGTAAGTTTTAAGGGTTTTTTTTATGGTGTAGGTCATGGACATGTGGTAAGTGAAGAAATGTGATGCTTCAAACATAGGTTGGATGAAAATGTGATGCTTCAAACATAGGTTGGATGAAAATGTGATGAGGGATAGGGGTTGGGTGTAAATGGGACTGCCCAGTATGGGCCACTAGGCCCGCTGCAGTTTCTTCCATTCTTATGTTCTTATGGGCATAAAAAACTCCCATGTTCACACCAGCTCAGCTGTCATCTATTCTTACCTGGTAGACTTTCTCTTCTTTTTTCAGTGCATTTACAGAGTATATCAGTACTAGATGGAGATACAAGTCAATTTAGAAATAATAACATTGTCTGGACTTTGTTTGAAAATGCCTGCTGCTAGGTAAACATGACAACATAGTGCTGTTATTGTTTTGATGATTCACTAATGAACCACTGAGATATATCATCATTTATATTAATTAATGGGTAAAATTTTACTTTAACTACCATAAGTATTTGGATGCTTAGATTCGAGGTCGGCTATATTGGGTAAATTTAAAGTTTTGGTCATCCCTGGACTTAGACATGCAGACTATGTTTTTTGTTTTGTTTTTTTCCTGGTGGTTTGCGATGTGTTATGAACGATTTAGACCTTCATTTATCGGAAATCACTAGTTTTGAGTTACTAACCCCCCCCCCACTTACCGGTGTATGTTAAGCTAACCTTATAACTCATCGTACCCTAACCTAACCTAATCTAACCTAACATAATTATGACCTGTATTTTCTTATGCGATCGAAAAATGTTTTTAGACGAAATCCCGTAGAGATATTTTGTCTTATTGTTTAAAGTACTTAATCCCATAGTTAGAATCTTATGGTTCCCCAAATGACCAAAACCAAAATAATACCAATATTGTTTGGAATGTTTATACTATGAAATTTAGTAGGAGCAGCTAATATCCATTGAATTAGTTAATGTGCTTAGTAATATTTATATATTCAATATAGCATTACTGTGTTGCACAGTAACGCACAATTAATTATCTAATAATATTTATTTACAGAGCCGATCAGCCTAGAAGGTTGAACGACTACTTCCAGGGTTCATCAAGGCAGATGAAAGAAATTTACCAAAAGTAGATATCTTCATGATAGTAGAGTATTAACAAGAACTCCGCCATCCAGCTATGGAGCACGTTAAATTACATCTGTGATTTGATCATCTCAAGCCCATCCCCTGGCCATGGTCGTCCCTAGTCCTTCCACAACATTAAATACCTGTACAGACATCAGTGACGAAAACTTACATTTTCCAGACATGAAATAGAGAACAGTGATGAAAACTTCCATGTTGGAGTTATCGGTCTTTTGCATCATTTTGGCACCCAGCAAGTAAATACACACGATGATACTTGAGCAGTAATTCAGTATAACCTAAAAATATGGTATGTCTGTGTATATCAACATTGTATATGGCCACAAGTCCAATTATGTATTTCTGCTGTTAACAATGACGTCATAACCAATCACAGAGCTTTTCGCAGTCACGTGACTTTTTAGCAACTTTAACCCTTATTTTTTACACTTTTTTGGCCTAATTTATTTAAAAATATCATTACCATAGTGAATTTACGCGTTTTCTTTACCCATTGACCTGCCATCTTAGGAAAAAATTCCGACCGTCAACTCGTCCATTGTTTCCCGGCGTGTATACAGTCTACCTCTCACTCTTGGGTGTGAATAAATACGAACTTATTCTGATATTTTCGTGTCTGCTTCCCGTTGACTGTTCCATAAGTGTACAATACCAACCTCAGCGTGAAGAAGAATACAGTAGTTCCTTATACTCGTCGTTCCTGATAACTTACCCAGCTCTGGAATATGACCTTGTGTTCATAGCGCTTAACACAATCCTCACTGAGAGTACAAATAATACAAAAAATACATAAATATGCGGTATCAGTAAATTGTGTATTTGTTAACACTGAAAATTATTGTAATACAGATCATGCGGTATTTTTGTTGTTGTTGTTATTTACATTATATCTGTATTATTGTAGCTATTGTCATGCCATTGTTGTTGTATACCATGTTGTCGTTTCATATTTGTCATGTCATTTTTTTCTTATATGATGTTACCGTGTCATATTTGTCATGTCACTGTTGTCTTACCATGTTATTGTGAAAAAATTGTCATGTCATTATTGTCGTACCATGTTATCGTGTCATATGTGTCATGTCTTTGTTGTCGTACCATGTTATCGTGTCATATTTGTCATGTCTTTGTTGTCGAACCATGTTATGGTGCCATATTTGTCATGTCTTTGTTGTTGTACCATGTTATCGTGTCATATTTGTCATGTCTTTGTTGTCGTACCATGTTATCGTGTCATATTTGTCATGTCTTTGTTGTCGAACCATGTTATGGTGCCATATTTGTCATGTCTTTGTTGTTGTACCATGTTATCGTGTCATATTTGTCATGTCTTTGTTGTCGTACCATGTTATCGTGTCATATTTGTCATGTCATTACAGTAGTGCCACTTGTCCTTCAGGTTTGTCGCTGGAGGAGAGATGTAGAGTGTGACTGAGTGCTTCCTGTGTGTGTGTGTGTCGTCTGATGGAACACTCCCGTCCCCATCACTCTCACGTCCCTACCACTTACCCGCCCCCGTCACTCTCACGTTCAGCCACTCTCCTACCATCTTCACTCTCCCGTCCCCGTCACTCTCCCGCCCCCGTCACTCTCCCGCACCCTGTCACTCTCCCGCACCCGTCACTCTCCCTGTCACTCTCCCCCGCACTCTCCCTCCCGTCACTCCTCCCCTGTCACTCTCCCGCACCCGTCACTCTCCCCGCCCTGTCACTCTCCCTGCCCCTTCACTCCTGTCCCCGTCACTCCCTGCACCCGTCACTCTCCCTGCCCCCCGTCACTCTCCTGCCCCCTTCACTCTCCCTGTCCCCATCACCTCACGTCCCTACCCACTTCACCTGTCCCTGTCACCTCACGTTCAGCCACTCTCCCACCATCTTCACTCTCCGTCCCCGTCCCGCCCGTCACCTCCGCGCCCGTCACTCTCCCGTCACTCTCCGCCCCTTCACTCTCCCACCCGTCACTCTCCCGTCCCCGTCATTCTCCCGCACCCGTCACTCTCTCGTCCCCGTCACTCTCCCGTCCCGTCACTCACCAACACCTGTCACTCTTTGTATGACAACATGTATATACTCGTATGACTACATGAATATCATGTATATACCTGTACGACTACATGTATATACCTGTAATTTCCTTGTAATGATGCGTGAATTTGTTTTTATCATTACTTGTATATGATGTTATTAATTAATGTATTTACTTATATTTTTCGTGAATTGAAAAACAAAATTTATTTGAAAATTTAAAGTATTGTATAGCAATGAATGTTTGTAATATTGTATTTTCGACAAATATGATTAATGTTCTACATCAAACCTGGAAAAGATTAAAAAAATGTGTATATGCAATGTGCACACTTACTGAATCGTGTTAAATTACCAACATTACGCAGACACACACACAGACAAACAGGATGTAGATAATCGTGGTCCATGACTCAGCACTTAAGGTCGGCTGACGCAAATATATGTACCCACCTCTGTGTTGTACGCCCTGCTGTACCACACTGTTGTACTGCCCTGTTGTACCACCCTGCTGTACCTCCTTGTTGTACCACCCTGCTGTACCTCCTTGTTGTATCACCCTGCTGCACCGCCCTTATTTACCACACTGTTGTACCGCCCATATTTACCACACTGTTGTACCACCCTGCTGTGCTGCCCCTTTGTACCACCCTGCTGTACCACCCCTCTGTACCACCCTGCTGTACCTCCTTATTGCACCACCCTGCTGTACCGCCCTTCTTTACCACACTATTATACCACCCTGCTCTGTCGCCCCTCTGTACCACCCTGCTTTACCGCCCTTATTTACCACACTGTTGTACCACCCTGCTTTACCGCTCCTCTGTACCACCCTGCTGTACCTCCTTGTTGTACCACCCTGCTGTACCTCCTTGTTGTATCACCCTGCTGTACCTCCTTGTTGTACCACCCTGCTGTACCACCCTGCTTTACCGCCTATATTTACCACACTGTTGTACCACCCTGTTTTACCGCCCCTCTGGACCACCCTGCAGTCCTCTGCTACCCCTTGTACTGCCATCATGTACCCCACTCCCTGCTGTTTAATACGTCACTCTCAGCACAATCATTATCACTCTCAGCACTATTATTATCACTCTCAGCACTATCATTATATAGGTAACGCGACCATTGACTCGCTCACTCATAGTACTCACTCTTTTAGCAAATAATTATACCTAAAGAGACATATTCTAAAAAAAAATACCACCTGTATATAGTTTATCAATAATCTACAAAATAAGAATAAATATATTTACCGGATTTATAAACTGTAAACTGATGTGATGGGGAGAGTGAGCACCTGAACCTCTCGGTGCAACAACCTGAAGTGGACTGACTATAACAAACAGCAGTGACAGTGACAGTACCAGCGCTGCCGCAAATCCGTAACTGTCGCTGACGTCATATTTCTGCCGTTTTCTTTGTATATGATGATAAAAAATGTAGCCTTGTCAACATAACATGAATAACTAATGTATCAATAAGACCGATGTAGGCCTACTCAATATATCTTAGCTTCATTATTACTCAAGTGACAAAACAGTAAGTCGTTTGATAATGACATAAGTCTTAAGCACAGATGGACGACGGAAGCTTATCACACAGTAATGCAGAGGGAACTGCACAAAGAACTCCTGATGAGCCTGAAGCAGAAGACTGATTCTGGTGGGTCATATACAAGGTCGACGTAGTGGAGTTAAGTGCACCAGTACAGAGCCAGATAAATTTACAGGGGAGGACAGGGAGATACACTCCAGCCCCACTACCTGCCAGCCAGGAGACATGCAACAAAATTATAAACAATGATATATATGGCCACACCTCACACAAAAAAATGAGTATTGTATGACAAAGGAGGGAGCTCCTGAGAATGAAAGGAGACCACTAGATCCACTACCAAGCTGTAACTTACTACAGAGAACTACAGCATTTTCGGCTTGAGACTCGTGTTTACAAACACTGATAACTTTCCTCGACAAGAGCGGAGTTTGAAACTTAACTCAAAACCCTTTAACCTGATATAGCAGGTGCTGTGGAACTGTTGTATAAGAATACGAGAATCGACCCAGAGGAATGCGAGTTTAATATAGATGGATATAACTCATTTGCAAACCTTTCTCGGGCATCTTGTAAGAGGAATGTGGTTATTTTACGCTAGATAGTACCTTAGACCCAGCCACAGTCAGGTGGTGGGTGCAGGGGGAAGATACTGTTACGAACCCCTTTCGCCGCTTACCAGCTTCCACTGCTGGTTACCAACGGCCAGGTCATATATACAGAAGCAGTAGATATATCACAAGCATCGTCGAATTACCACTGGCTGTCCCGCCAGTCTCCGGTAATTTCCCGACAATCGGTATCAGTGTACAGACAAAACAACAGGCTAATAGATTTTTACCAGGTCACAGAAATGCACTTGTGAACTGTAGTCCTCTTTAATAATCCATAAATCTTCACAAAAACTGTTCACAGGGTAATCCTCAGAACAGACAGAAATTAAAAATAGCAAAGAAAAAAGGTTTTACTGCATTAATCTGCACCTCGAAGATGCCGGAAAACCAGCTTTTTAAAGTGAGGCAGATTGTATAAGTATGAAAACACAGAAGAAGACAGAGCATTCCACAGCTTGGTTATGTGAGGAAAGAAGGATGTACTTATTGTACTATAACGGGTTATTCTAATGTGACCGACATCCACAGAAAAACGGTGGGCACCGCGGGCAAGACATATAGTATGTTCCGAGCCCACGGCCTTGCCGGCGGTACACAGGATGCCAAATCTACCGAACATTGCCCGTTAAAGTACCTGTAAAAGAGAGAGAGTGAAGCAACATTGCGGCGGAGAGAAAGGGAAGAGAGATTGTCAACTAAAGGAGGAGAGTTAATAAGACGAAATACCTTTGATTCCACCCTATCTAACAGTTGGACAGAAGAAGAGCCACCCCAGATATGAGAGCAGTACTCCAAGTTAGGACGAATGAATCATTTATATACTTGAAGCAACTGCTCAGGAGTGAAGTAGCTGAGGCATCTGTACAGCATTCCCAACTTTTGGGTGGCAGCTTTAGCAATGTTGAGGATGTGTGACTTCCATGACATATTGGAGGAAATGGTGAGGCCTAACATATCTATTTCAGAATTTGGCAGAATAATAATGTCCGGAAATGTAATTGGTGCGAGATCATCTAATTTAGAAAGTGTAATTGGTAAATACTGTGTTTTATTACTATTGAATTTAACCAGGTTTCTACCTCCCCATTCAGAGATGCTGCACAGATCCGCATTGATAGAAGTAGTGATATCAGCTCTAGAAACATATCTAGTTTGAGATTTAGGAGGAAGGGGGAAATGTGAAGAAGAGCGAAGAGTAGAATCATCAGCGTAAGAATGGATAGAATTAGTTGTAGTGTGAAGTAAACCATTGATAAAAGGAAGGAAGAGAGTTGGTGAAAGAACAGAATCCTGTTGGACACCACGATTGGTAGAGAAAGAGCGAGAGATCGATCCCTTGACAACAACTGCCATGGATCGGTTCTCAAGGAAGCTAGAGATTAGAAAACAAAGTGGGGGAGAGAAACCATAAGAGGGAAGTTTAGAAAGCAAAGAATGTGCCATACCCTGTCAAATGCTTTGGAGATGTCGAGGGCCATGATGAAAGTTCCCAATAAAAACCTCAGAGAGGATGATATACAGTCAGCACATTACCAGTGTGCAATTCCTCATTATTTTCACTATATAACGCTCAAAACAATTTCATAATACTTGAACAACAATTAATTATCTTTAGTTGTCACTAGGCTTGTACTATAAGATGTCTTCAATATAGTTGCTTTCATTGGTACCACATAACAAAATAAGTACTTTCTTTTTAATATGGCGGGGGTCCGGGGGAGCTGGCTAGGGAGTTAGGTAAGGTTAAGTAGGTTTCTTTAGTTGGTTAGGTCAGGTTCTATTACGTTCACTATTATTCATGTGTGACAGAAAGGTATAGAATGAAAGGTACTCAGAATGATAAGTTGTATCTAGAACTGGACCCAAAAATATTGTGGGATATTATGGGCAACTTGTAAAAATTCATCAATCTTGTACACTGGTGATGAATGAGTTTGTAGCTCTTTATATGTGGCCAATTGTCTAATTTCTCTTGTTGTGTAAACTTTCTCTTTGTTAGGCTCACATACAGGTATATACGTACTTGGAGGAGATATCCCACTCAGGATGGAGGTGAGGAAGGAAACTCACAATGGCATTTTCTTTATATATATTATATGTACAGAGTAGTCAGGTGCTGGGGAGCTGCTGCGTATTAGAGGAGTTGCTGTGGAGGAGCTTCTTAGAGGAGGTCTTCTCTGCTTAAGAGCGTGGTGTAGTCTGCCCTTTCGATGGGTGGGTGAAGTAAAGTGTGAATAGATCTTGATGCTGGTGCGTAGATTGGTGGTACGGGAACTGGACTTGAAGAATGCTGGTGGACTTTGGAGGGACTTGGGGTTGGTCGATAGTGCAAGAAGAAAGGCGAGGAAATTGGAAAATACTAGTAGGATGATAAGCCTTGGGGCTCAATCCAAGTGCTTCTGTTGTCATGTTTGTGTTTCAGCTAATTTTCGTCGTAGGTATTATATTTATGTTAAGTATTTGCATGTTTAGCAAGTGTTGCAGCTTATACCTTAAATTTTCGTGTCTTGTGTCCTAGCCTGTGGTGGGGGGTCTAGGGCAGGTACTTGTGTTTCTGCTAAGAACATCCCATCTTTTCATGATCTAATGTTGTAAGTGGTAGGGCTACCAAGGTTGTCACTGGGGTAACGTTGTATTCTTTCAATAGAGTGGAGTTGGTGTGGGTTCGAGGGTTCTTCTTTTACTGCGTGGGGAACCACGAGTGTTCTCTTCCTTCTTCTATCTCTTCCATCCATTCTGTGATTGGTCCTGTCTCTATATCTTCTAACTTTGTCCATATTCTTTGAGTGTTGGTATAGGTAAACTTTTAGGGGTTCTATTTGCGCTCGTTGGTGTAGTTGACAGTTGGTGACTATGTCAGGATATCTGATCTTGTATACATCCCTTAAGGCTAAGTTTTGAATTGTCTGCAGTTTCATTGTTTGTTTGTTTTATTGCATGTAGGGGAATTGGTGGATATACTAGTTGTTATATATGTGTATGTTTATATGCTGCCTTTATTGATTATATATACATTATATATTATGTTACTTCTTACCAAAGTCAGAAAGTGTTTAGGCTTGTGTAAACACGAAATGTGTTAGGCACGTACTAACCAAGAACAGAGAATAAACGCTCCAGGTAGACCGACCATGTGACTTGTCATTCTCCCATTAAATAATGTAAGATACTACACTGGCGACGAGGATAGGATTCTCAAAATGTTTGTGAACTCCTTGAAGAGAGGATAGTGACCACTGAAGGGAAGACTACTCTGAACCTGGAGAATTTAAGTGAAGAGAGCAACCATGGCTGGCGTCAGTGGATACATGGGAAGATTGGGGGAGTATGATGCAGACAAGGAAGATTTCACATCATAATGTGAGAGAATGGACATCTTCTTTCTGGCAAATGAATTAATGGACGACGGTGGTGATGCTCAGAAGAAGAAGGCCCTTGAAGAGAAAAGGAAAGCAGTCTTTTTGACAGAGGTAGGAGCTAATGTTTTTTCTACTCTGGTCAATTTGCTGGTTCCAAACAAGCCAAAGACTCCTCACTGATTCTGATTACCAAGATTCTGAAGCAACATTTTGATCCTGCTCCACTTGAGATCGCTGAAAGTTACAAATTTGGCACCAGAGATAGAGGGAAAGATGAATCAGTAAATAATTATATAGTAGCTTTGAAGAAGTTATCCATTCACTGTAACTTTGGACAGTTCTTGAACCGAGCTCTAAGAGACAGGTTTGTGATAGGCCTGAATTATGAAAAAATACAAAATAAGTTAATGAACACCACTAACTTAACAAGGATGGAATTAGCAGAGAAAAACACCAGAGAATTTGTTCCCAATGCTGGTAGTGAAACAGTTGGCAGTAGTGGCTCAGTGTGTAAAAGTAACTGTAGCTAAAGGAATAATTATACCACAAAACAAGGAACACATGCTGATTTAAAATGTAAGAGGTGCCGAGGGAAACATGAAAGCTTTCAGTGTAAGTTCAAGAATTCAAGATGTTACAATTGTCAACGTATTGGACGTATTGCTCCTGCCTGTATGAAAGAAATTACAGCCCCTGCTAGAAGTGATAAAAGTAGAGTATATGCCGTTGAAGGTGGAGAGAAGGAAATGAAAAACAGTATTCATGAGAGTGTTAGTAATTTTGGATCCGATAATGATGAGAGTGCCCATGTGTTTATTATTTACACCAGTCATGAAGAGAAAGTTAAACATAGGTAAAATGTGGACTTGTGTATTAAT